CTTAAGGACATTCTCAGCTATCACAGCTTTTCAAGTATCAAAAGGTTTAGCTAATTAAGAAAACTACAGCTAGAGTCCCTCAGTAGATTTTTTAAATTAGTTATTAAAATTTATGTTTTATGTTATTAATTCTGCAGATGACTAGAGATGGTTACCTTTCATTAGAATAAATCATAAATGGACCAACTATGATGACCTGAAAAGAGCCTGAGTTCATTACAATATTAATGTAGCAAACTTCCATCAGATCCCAGTTTGGATCCTCCTGGAACACCAAAGTGATATGAACTGTCCCGTCATCCAATACCTGGTTGTTAGCACAACAAAACAAGCGTGGGAAATTTCAGGTTAAAAGTCTAAAAAAGTTAAGTCTAGTTCTCTGGACATTCAAAAAAATAAAACAACAAAAACCAAAAAAAATGTAGAAATGTTTCGTCTCTCATCCAAGAGACTTCCTCAGTCTGAGGTGCTGTTTACAGCTCAGTCTCTTAAACAGCACCTTCTCAGGGTGGATCAACCAGTTTACTGCTGACAACCAAAACCAGCTGCTCACATGCTCAAGAAGGACCATCAGCCTAACAATGGATCATTAGCACACTGATGGCTGTTTACTACTCACAGAGGGTTGAGTGATACTAGCAATCACAGCATTGTAAGAGGGGGACAGTTGAACCCGGAGGCCTCCACCCCTGTTTAATGATGGACGATTTCTTTTCTCAAAGATGGCCTCCTTTACTCCTCTCTCAAACCATCGTTCCTCTCTGTCCAGGATGTGAACATCTTCATCCTTGAAAGAGTGACCGCTGGCCTGGAGATGAGTGTAGACCGCAGAGTCCTGGCCTGATGATGTTGATCTTCTGTGCTGGTCCATCCTTTTGGCCAGTGGCTGTTTAGTTTCCCTGATGTAAGACTGATCACAGCCCTCCTGACACTGAACAGCATACACAACATTACTCTGTTTGTGCCGGGGGACTGGATCTTTGGGATGAACCAGTCTTTGCCGTAATGTATTTTGGGGTTTAAAAGCCACTGGGACGTTATGTTTAGAAAATAAACGTCTCAGTTTCTCTGATACCCCCTCAACATACGGAATGACCACTGGTCTGGGTTCCTCCTTTTCACCTGATGGCTGACTGGAGTCCTGTTTGGGTTTCTTCTCTGCTTTCAGGAAGGCCCAGTTAGGATATCCACATTGCTCTAGAGCCTGTTTTGTGTGGGATTTCTCCTTCTGCCTGGCTCCTGAGCTAGTGGGGACGCTGTCTGCTCTGTGGTACAGAGTCCTGATGACTCCTAACTTGTGCTCCAAAGGGTGATGGGAGTCAAACTGCAAATACTGGTCTGTGTGGGTTTGTGGTACACCTCAGTTTGCAAATGTCCTCTATCAGAGACTGAGACCTCACAGTCCAAGAAAGCGAACCTGCCATTTTTTACATCTTCTCGTGTGAACTTGATGTATTTATCCACAGAGTTGATGTGGTCAGTGAAATGTTGGACTTCCTGTTCTGGTTCCACTCAACCTCCTGTGAGTAGTAAACAGCCATCAGGTGCTAATGATCCATTGTTAGGCTGATGGTCCTTCTTGAGCATGTGATCAGCTGGTTTTGGTTGTCAGCAGCAAAACTGGTTGATCCACTCTGAGAAGGTGCTATTTAAGAGACTGAGCTGAATACAGCACCTCAGACTGAGGAAGTCTCTTGGATGAGAGACGAAACGTTTCTACATTTTTTTGCTTTGTTTTTTTTTTGTTTTTTTTTAATGTCCAGAGGACCAGATTGAACTTTTTTAGATGTTTCTGCCTGGATTATTGAGCATGCATCAGGATATTCATGTTAAAAGCATTGCATTTTATATTTACAGCTATTCCTTCAGTTAGGCTGTATTACTGTCAATACAATAAATGCAGACATGTTCCTGTTTTTACTTTGTAGTATCTTACACCGTTTTATAATGTAGCTTGTTTATTTTGTTTTGTATCACTTCTTTTATGGACTTTTCATTTAATATGCTTTTATATGAATGCTTATTGTTGTCTATACCTCATCTGTGATTTTTTGTTTAAAACATAAATGAGTCCTCATGACTCAATGATATAATGTGATAAATAAAGGATGAATGAATGAATTACTTTAATATCCTATTAAATGCTAATGTTGAGAACACAGAGTCTGAATCCAATTACATCACCTTACTTTTAGTTTTGAAATTCTGTGATAGTACCGTAAGTGCTTCTGCTCTTTTTATCCATCGTCTAACATCTGACTTATAGTGTCATTTTTTTAGTTACTAACAACTACTTGAACAAAAACACAAACCCAACATGAAACAGAACCAACAGGGACAACCCATCTGAACACATAAGCTAAAAAAAGTTCATCAATTTCTGTCACATATATTACCCAGAAACCCCTGCGCCTCACTCACGGTCTCTTCCATTCATGTAAAACATGTACTTTCCATAATTCTGACTGAAATGTAACAGTAACCCACTTAACAACTTTTCTGTAAAATTTAATTGTGTAATAAAACCAAAAAACAACTTAGAAATTGAAAATTATCAGTCTAAACCTAAATATGAACTTTAACCTTCATTTTTTTTTCAGAGCATCTACAATTTCCATTTAGGACTTTCTTTTTAATTTTTAAGTTGCAATTGAATGCATCACAAATTTTCATGCAGTCTAAAGTAAACATGTTGCAAGGCCTTCCTGAACGCTCAGAGCACTGTGTTTCAGTCCAAACCACTCTACATCTACATTATGATTGGTTCATTTTCCTGTCAGTTATTAAACCACTCATCCTGCAGAGCCTCAGACTGAACTCAGCCATCTTTCCTGACAGTGAATCAGAATCAGCTTTATTGTCATTGCACAGAAGCACAACGAAATTACATTTCAGACAGCTGTCCAAAGAGGAAAAAAAGCATGGGTAGATGGAGATGTCTGAGGCCGCAGCCTCGTGGGAAGCGCTGCCCTTTCATTTAGATAAGGAAAAGAGAAAACATGAGTAAAGAATCAGTAAAAAACAAAAAATCATATTTCACACTGTGTCCTTGTTTGGACAGAGTGAATGTTTCGAGAAAAATCTCAACACAAGAAAAAGCAACATACTGGTGACATAAAGTCATATGCATGTGGAGTGGGTGAGGGTCCCAGCATAGGCCATCCAAGTGAGCGGGGGGGGTCAGCAAAGGAGGTGAATTTGAGGGGAAATAGTCCTTGAACAATGTTCAGATAGCCATAGTCCTGATAAGTGATGGTACAGTGTTTATCAGCCAGTTCGGTAAAGCTCTGACACACACAGGTCCGCAGACGTTGGGAATGGTAGGGTAGGGTGGGAGCAGAGCATCTTGTTCACATAACATCCAGGAGAATTTGAGATAGTCAACCTCCAAGGCCAACACGAGGGAGCCAAATTCAGAGAGCAACTGTTGTTTTGGGCCAGGCAGGATCTGTTAACTTCTATCTGCCTTTACAGTCTCGCTAGTACTAACCAATGAGAAAGAACCTTCAAAGGTCCTGATGTATGCTCAATAATCCCGATAGAAAAATTGAACAAGGTTAAGTCAGGTTCTCTGGATGGGTTCTTCTTGTTAAAACCGTCAAGGGAATTTAGGTAAAGGTTATGGATTTATTAGTAACTAATGTTAAATTGATGTATGCAAGGTAGAGTTGTTTTGTCTCCTCAAGAGAGGAGCCTGCAGGTGCATGGAGAAGCACTGATTAACTCCAAGACCTCGTCCTTGTCTGTAAGATGGAAAGTTGAGGTCGTCTTGACCTTGTTTCTGTCTGATAATGTGTATTAAAGCTTTCCCTGCCTCTCTGTCCAGCACAGATTCTCACTGATGAGGCTAAAGGCATGTAACTTTTGTACATCTGTAAAAGTGGGGGAGTGATGGCACAGAGGTTAGAGAAGGTGGGCCTGTGATCAGAAGATCGCCGGTTCAAGCCCCGGTATCGACAACATCAAAAATGTGGGTGGGGTAGGTGAAGCACCCACACCTGCCCCCAACCTCATTCACCCCACCCTGAGCCCATGAGCAAGGCTCTTAACCCCCATCTGCTCCCTAAACAGGTCTCTCTTGAAAATGAGTTCTCTTGGCTCAACAAGTCTACCTGTATAAATAAAGGATCAATGAAAAAAAAAAAAAAAAAGCTTCCTCGTGACCGTCTACACTTGCAACTAGTAAACTGGGTTGAAAAATCTTGTCTTGTGGAGTGGCTTATTTGAGTAAAGAGATGAAAATATATTTTATCCAACAGAAATTCAAAAAAAAAAAAAAAACAAAGCAAAACAAAACAAAACCAAAAAAAAATGTAGAAACGTTTCGTCTTTCATTTGAAAGACTTCTTCAGTCTGAGGTGCTGTATTCAGCTCAGTCTTAAAAATAGCCACACTACTTAACTACCACTACCTACTCTTCAGCCTTACTTTACAACTCTTCTTTCTTTTTTGTCTCATTTTAATACAAAGCTCAGCAGAGAATCCTGGAATCCTGTTAGCTAACCAGAGCCCCCTGTCGCACATGAACCTCAGGTCTCTCTGTGGAGTGTAGCCTGATTCCATGAAGAGAGAACTTCTTTTTACACACATCACTAATAAAGTTTAATCTTGCTGCCGTTACTGCCCTCCAGACTGTGACCGCCTATCTTGTGGGTTTTTTACACCATTTACTGTAAATCATGATGAGTCAGGGTGTCTCCTGAATGACTGAGACACTTCATAAGTGGGACTTTACTGTAGGGACTGTTGTCTGGGTTCTGTAATATTTTCTTTGTTCAGAGGGGTTTTGTGAATGCTGAGCCAACATTCCTTGAATGGCAGGGCGTCCCTTTCCTCCTTCTTGCATCAACCAAAACACTCGAGCCACGCCATAACACCAAACAGTTCTCGCCTCTCCCAGGATTTAAAAATACATTTTGTTGCTCCTCCTCGTGCAGCTCAACTAATCTGCAAGAGAGCTTTGTCTTAGAAATGACCTGGTAAAAAGTTGAAAAGCTCACCTGCACATGCTGGAGTCTTGTCAACAGGGGTCAGAGCCGGGGTCGTAGTGGCCCTCAGCTCTGTTCAGCCGACAGGCCGTCTGGATGTCCCACTGAAACACAAGTCAGCCATCCACACTTAAATACAAGCAAGAAAGGGAGAGAGAGGGAAAGGAAAAAGCGTCAGAACCACAACACAGCGATTAAAGAGCAAAGGGGGGAGGAGGAGGGAGGAGTGTGAGACACAGTCAAACTAAATGAAGAGAGAGATTTTAAATCCACATGAGCTGGCTGAGGTCTTTGAATGGTCTAATCCTCTCCAGAAGGAAAGCCTCAGCTCATCTGTTTCAGTCTGGAAGATGTGTCCTGGAACACATGGTACGGTTCCACAGTGGCAGTTTCTGGTCGGGTGATATACAGTAGGTAGCTGCCCAAGGCGGCAACTCATCAAAGGTGGCACTAGAACCTGGCCCCATCAAAAAAAAAAAAAACATGTCATATAGCTAGCCTACTTATGACATGATGGTCTGTTCCTTTGTCTGTTTTCTTTGTGTTTCCATGTCTTCAACATTTCTGTTTCTTGTGCTCTGTCTCTGTTCTTGTCATTTTCTCACTCACTCCTCTGTCTGCCTCTCCAACCTTTAATCATTCACACCTGTCCCTAACCAGCTGCACTCATTAACCACTCTTCCTCTGCTGTATTTAAACTCCTTCCATCCACCTCCAAACTGGCCGGTCATTGTTCTGTTTTATACAGACATCTCAGTCCTCCTCCTCTGTCTGTCCTGTTTCCGTCCGTTTGGTGATCTGCTCTGTTTTTGCTTGAGTAGGTTTTTGAGACTAACCTGTAAAAATAAAGGTTGAATGAAACAAACAAACAAAAAAAATCAGTTTGCTGATTACAGCCAAAACTAGCTGTTCAGCTAGTTGTGGAAAAAGTAGTTGTGGCAGTCACCAACAAACTGATTGATCCACTATGAGAAGGTGCTATTTATAAGACTGAGTTTGTTTGTTGCAGCACCCAACTCTACTTTGGAGGATGACTAGCCCCACAGCCACAGCTGCCCCAGTAGTGTCCTCATTTGGGACATTGTAGACTTCAGGCCTCATTAGTTGAAAAGTACAAGTAGGTGTGTGTGTGTGTACAAACACATTCCCAGAGTGGATGAAGAGGAATGAGTGTGGTGTTGGAGGGAATGGTGGGTTTGAATACTTCTGGCCCTGTGTTGTAATTCAGAGTTCAGAATGGTTTCCATTGCCCTTGCAGATGAAAGAACCTCATGCCCCCCCCCCCCCCCCCCCCCGCCCCCATCCCATTTCTCTCACTCACTCATTCTTGTATGGAAACCTACACATCTCTGGTGGTGGAGGCTGACGGGTCCTGCCAAGCATATGGACTGTGTTATGAAACAGTCTGGGCTCAGGCAGCCTCCGTTGTTTTATGATCTCCTTAATATTAGGGCATTGGGTTTCCTGTGCAGAAAGAGAGGCTAGGCTTCAGGATGTGTGCAGTTCAACATTTTCAACAAGATATGTGGGAGATCCAGGAAAAAGTTTCAGAAGAAAGTGCGCAGATTTTGTTAATGCATGTGGCGCCAGCTTCTGAACCACAACAGTCAACAGACATTACATTCAGAGGAAAGATGGGAAACAGTGAAGCGTTTGTGTGCAAGGCAGAGATGAATTAAACAGTTTTCACCATAACAAAAATGCTCTGATTTAATGTTTACAACAACAGACTGTAAACATTTTCAAAAATCCCATTACAGACTTAAAGTAATACATATCACCTTTCATGTTTCATGCATCATATTTAAACTTGAATCAACTTGGGCTGAGAAAGTATATTAAATATCAATAATAATAAATATAATAATAATAATAATAACAACAATAAATATAAATTTGCAATGGTTTATTATGTTGGTGTCCAAAACTTCTTTAAAACGTCTTCAGTTGATCCAAAATGCTGCTGCCAGAGTCTTAATTGGAGTTAGTAGGAGAGATCATATTTCTCCAGTTTTAGTTTCTCTCCATTGGCTCCCCGTCAAGTCCAGAATTTAATTCAAATTCTTACTTCTAACCTACAAAGCCCTCAACAACCTAGCTCCTTTTTACAGTATATTCGAGATATTATTGTTCCATATTTTCCTAACATAACAGAGCACTTTGCTTTGAAACTGCCAGCTTACTTGCAGTTCCTGGAGTTTCCAAAAGCAGAATGGGAGGAAGATCTTTCAGTTATCAGGCTGCTCTCTTGTGGAACGAAATTGAGAGGACAACTTGTGAAACTAACAACCGGGGAAGGTGCTAAAAGACTGTGCCGATCAGCTCTGCTCAACTCTGTGCTGGCCGACGTCTTTAACTCCTCCCTTACCATGGCAACAGTTCCCAACTGCCTGAAGACCACCAGCGTCACCATCATCCCAGTCCCAAAGAGCTCTACAGTGACAGGTCTGAATGACTATCGGCCAGCAGCCCTCACCCTGAGTCGCTAAATGCTTTGAAAGACTAGTCATGACCCACATCAAAACAACCATCAACATCAACGAGGACCCTCACTAGTACGCATACTGCAAGAATCGATTAACAGAAGACGCCATCTCCTCTGTGATCCACACTGCTTTCACGCACCTGGAGCAGGACTTCTAGGTCCGTATGCTCTTTGTGGACTTTACCTCTGTCTTCAATACCATGATCCCCCAGACCCTGAAGGACAAACTACTCACAGTAGGACTAAGCCTCTCCATTTGCAACTGGATTCTGGGCTTCTTAACAAACAGACCACAGTTAGTGAGGATCCACAACTTCTCCTCCTCCACCATAACCCTCAGCACTGGTTCTCCTCAGGGATGTGTGTTGAGCCCCCTCCTGTTTACTCTGCTCACGTATGATTGCGCACCTACCCATCCAGGCTGTCATATGCCCCTTTTCCACTGTCACAGCGCGGGTCGGATATTTCCGGCTTGAAGCGCGTTTGAGGTCTTTCCACTGTTCCTGTGACCGGCTCGCCTCGCTAAATTCTGGCCCGGCTTCTCAAGGGTTCCGAGCGAGCCGCGCCGTGATGTCAGAAACACTGTCGGTCACTGATTGGTCGGGGGGAGGAGTCTGTGGAGTCTTTCCAAACAACCCGATCCACCATTTTTTTCTCTACCGCTTGCCATTAGCGATAACACGAGGAGGGTATCTTTTAGTATTTTGAAGCTATACAACAACAATAATATCAAAGTCGTGATCAAATGCAGAAGTGCAGGTGTTGTTGTGCTTGGTGGCCGACGAAAAAAGTCAAAGCGAGCTAGATGGAGGATTGGAGGGTGGTTTGGACACGACTACTGCTCTACTTGAACCATTTATAGAAGATGGTGAGTGTTTTCTAACTTTAAACATATTTTAAATTACTCATCCCATCAGTTCTGAACATATTTTTAACTAACAAAAGAGGCTGACGCCATAATAGGACAACATCGGTGCTACGATGCTAAGGTAATTTGCATAAATGCTAACTGTCCTCCGGTCCCGTTTCTCACTGTATTTTATCCAGAACATATTTCAGCATGTGATGGTTCGTCTCTAAACTCCACATTAAACCCTCCAAGCCTCCCGGCTTCTGCTCCTGCTCCATCAGAGGAGTCTGCACCTGACAGAGCTCCATCACAGCCCAGCTGCACCTCACAGAGCAGCACAACGCTGCAGCTTCTGTGCTCGGTAAGAACAGATGCAACTGTTCCACATCACTTTATTTGTGCCGATAAGGACTTGATTTATTTTATTTTTAAAGTAAAAAACTAAAATGTTGAATAAATACTGAATTGGGGTGAAATTATGTACTTTGTACACAGGGTCCCAGTTACAGACAACAAAATGTAAAATAAAAACAGTAATAAGATCTAAAATATGAATTAAGAAAAATATCAACTAAAAAACATCTACTAATAAAACACTAAGCACTAATAGCAGTAAACAATCAAAACAATATGTCAAACAGCAACATGAACTAGAGTTTGTGCAGCCTTATGAATATCTAACCAGGATAATCATGTTGCTGCTTATCTGTTTCATGTAGCTGCTGATCAGTTTCATGTTGCTGCTGATCAGTTTCATGTTGCTGCTGATCGGTTTCATGTTGCTGCTGATCAGTTTCATGTTGCTGCTGATCTGTTTCATGTTGTTGTGTTCATGCATGCTCATCAGTTCACACAGACTCATGTCCGTGCTGCTGTTCTGCGTATTGTGTTTAATGTTTTTATGCTATTAGAGCTTATCATATTTTTAGTTGATGTTTTTATTAGTTCATATCTTAGATCTTATTACTGTTTTTCTTTTATATTTTATTGTTGGATGTAACTGGGACCCTGTGGACATAATTTTGATCCACCACATGTACCACATGTGGTGCGAATGACAAAGAATATCTGCATCTGTATAATACTTTCTGATTCATATATCCATTATTATCATTTTCATTATTTTTAAATCAATTTATTTTTCATTTTCTTATTTGATCAGTTTATTATTATTAATATATCTATTATAGCTGTTAGCAGCACCTTTCTTTGTTTCATGCATTTATTCAAAAACAGTATGTAGCTTGAATTAACCACCTGTTTCTTCTTTCTAGTGAAGAGAAAGAGAAAAGAGTCCAGTAAAGAAAAGTCTTATTTCATCACTGAATGAACATGAAGAACTGAAGCGGACACAGCAGGAACAACACTTGTGTCTTCTTCTGGATGAAGCCCGTGAGACAAGGGACACACAGATACACAGTCATTAGTTGGACGCTGTAGTTTTTATTTTTCTACATTTTTCACTTCTTACTTTTCATATTAAACAATTTTTTTCTTAAGTGGTGTCCTTGAACATTAAATTTCCTAAACAAATTTTACAATGTTAAGTTCATATAGTGTTTGTTTAAATTCATACTGGAAGTTGAGAAGAATTTCCAATTGCATTTGATCTTTAATGAATCCTAAGAAAAGATTACTAGAATCTGCTCAACTGTTATTATGTTATAATTTTTTGGTTCTAGGATGAAGTGACACAAAAACAGTCAAAAATTCAGAAAGGACAGTTATCAATTATCAGTTATCAGTTATCGTTTATCGTCCGTACAACTG